GCACGTTCACGGAGCTCTTCCCCAAGGACAGGTCTGTATTTAAATCGTGTGAATCTGAAAGAGCAGCCCTGTAACATAGACCTTGAGTGGCTAACTGGACCTGGATTTACAATCGAGCCAACTGGCCCTTTACTCTGAGTGTCCTGAAAACCTGTACATTTTCATAGTTGAGGTTTTCAGCCCTCACCTGAACCAACCAATCAGAGCTCACCCACCTCAGCCACTCAGGGCTCAGCTTCATCAACCAATCAAAGCTCAGCTGTAATAACCAATCAGAATGCAGCTGCATTGACCAATCAGAACTAAGCAAGTTCCTAGCCTTCCTTTGCATAAATGGACCTGATTGGGAACCTGGGAAGGAACTTTTTGCTGTAAAACCTGCCTTCCTTGCTTTCTGTGGCATTCACCTTCATTGTATACTAGAGGCTGTAACTCCCTGGTTTGCAAACTGTTTACTAGAACAAGATCTCTGTCTTCCAAATTCCTGTTCAGAGAACTTTGTTCACAACAAGAAACCAAATAGCTAAGCAAATTCAATTAAGCTAAATTGTACTCATTACATTGACCCAAGGTTCAGGGGAAATAAGGCATTTTGCGAAATTCTGATGACTGAGTTGAAGGCAAAGGAGAAAGATAAGCAAAAGCAGTAATTCAAATTTGTATGTATTGAGCATGGACTCTGGGGCAAGTATTGTGCAGCCAGAACTGTAAACGTTTCAATCTTTTCTTTTGGGATATACCACTATTCTATACAATCCCAAGATAATTGCACAGATCCCAACATTTAAACCATACACATCACTGGCCAGATATACCTGGGGATGTGCTTGGAGGATCATAGAGAAACAGCTAACTAAAGCTTTGGTGCCCTGTGGAGCATATTAACAGGAGCTTAGGGTACCCTCTCTTCTGCTGCTTAGAGTTGAAGCTCTTCCCCACACCCAATCACTCTCTATTTTTTAGGACCAAGATTCTGGGCAAGCAGAAAAGACAGCAATGCTTTCACTCTTTGTTGTATCCTTATCTGCAATTCTGAAATTCACAGTTCAATTTAAATCTTAAGGATGATAATTCTTCCAAAGTCTCAATGCCATGCGAGTTCATTTGTAGATTATAGAGCACAACGGGGCTATAAGCACACAAGTCGCCACTGTAATGATTTTATGACTTTCGAGGCATCATGCAGAGCTTCCAAGCTTTTTGGGGCTGCTGCTGCTGTGTACTTGGATGGTTTGGAGCCACAGCTCTGTCCCTGACCAGAAGATATTTACTAATCTGAATAGCAGCCAATTCACATTCATGCTCATGAATTACAACAGAGAACCACTATTAAGCAATCCAATAAATCTCTGCTCTGGAACCAAAGCAGAATCCATTGCTAATTCCCTCATCCACCAAATATTTATGGAATGTGTGAGCCCTACTATATGCCAGACACTATGCTAGGAACTAGGGCCAGAAAGCCAAGTTAGAAATGGTCCCGACTGTACAGAGGGGTCAGGTGAACAGAGACAAACTCACGACTAGGAAATTACAGGGCATGGTGCTCTGGGGCCTGAGAAATCACACAGCAGGGCAGCAACGTGATGGTCTTGCTCTGGGGGCTACTAAAGAGTGAGATGTCCATGGAAAGCATTTCTGGAATCCTTTCAAAGGTATTTTCTTTTTAAGCTGAAGACAGAAGTTAATAGGCCACCACTTGACACACTCCCATTTCATCAAATCAGAATGAAGAGGCTTGTTACTAAAGGAGCAACATAAACATGTCCCTTGCCCTGTCGATCATCTACAGGACCCTCCAGGGAAACAAAGCCATCTTCCTTGAATCTCCACAGCATTTGGTTCTGCTCTGCCTTGTATCTTTTAGCAGTTTGCAGATCTGTTCTTGCTATTAGACTATAGCTATATCCTATACATATATTACTTACAGGCAAGATTTTGGCTTTGGAATCACCACTCAGGTGACAGTTCATAGTTTTGCAGACAGTAAGCACTCTGGGCATGTTTCTGTATAGAGGTGACTTCCCTTCTCTTTTCGTTCTAGACCCTGTAACCAAGCAAGCAAGTAAGTGCTGAATCTGGATGTTTCTACCACTGTCTCTCAGACCCAGCTGCCATGATTCTATTTCATGGCCCCAGCCCCCCAGTTCCCCAACCCCCAGCTGTCCCTTCTGACTCACTGCATCAGCTGCCCTCTGCACAGACTCACCTCACCACCACTTCTGGCACATTGGTCAGCAGCTTCCTGGGCCCAAAAGAAAATTCAGACTCCTCAGCCTTGCTCTCAAAACTCTGGAATAGATCCCAGCCCACCTGTCATTCTTCCTCTCTTGCCCTTCTGCTTGCCTCCTCCATCTTTTACCCTCCAGCCATTTTGGATCACTTGCTGTTCCCCAAACTTGCTTTGATGTTCCCAAATTGCTTTGTTCACACTGAACTCTACCGCCGACCAGCTTTCTATGACCATTCATTGCGTGCTTACCAAGTGCCAAGTCCCGGGTTTCAGGTTCTGTCACTAGAGGTTATATAAACTTAGCAGGTTGTTCTGGTGAGATAACACATACCCATTAGATCTATCATCCTTTATGAACTCTTAGAATGTTCATTGGTTAATCATTTCCCCTTAGAACTGAATGACCTTTACTAATGTGTTGCCTCACAATTTTTCAAAGCAAAGAATCCAGTGTCAAAAAGAGTAAGGAAGAAGTGAAGAGAACTCAAATCTCAAAACAATGTCCCCCCAAAATTCATGGTGATGATATAGCAGTTCTAGTGGAAATAATCACGTCATCCCAAGTTTATCCCCAGTGCTATAAACATGGCCTGCAAGTCTTAATGGTTTCGATACAATAAATAGTGCTGTATTTTCTTTTGTCTGAGAGGATCTCCCTGGTGTTTGTTTTAGCAGTCAAGAAAAGTGAGTAACACGCACAGTTTACCCTCCATATCCTTGGGCCTCACGTCTGCAGATTCAGCCAACAGCAGACTGAAAACATATGGGGGGGAAAACAATGACCAAAAAATTTATACGAATAAAAAACCAATATTGTAAAACAACTATTTACATAGCATTTACATTTATTAGGTAAAAGTGATCAAGAGATAACTTGAGGTTTATAGGAGGATGTGTGTAGGTTATGTACAAATACTGTGCCATTTTGTAAAAGGAGCTTGAGTATCTAGATTTTGGTATGGAGAAGAGGGTTATCCTAAACTAATCCCTTCAGAATACCAGTGACTAGTGTTCTAAACTAGCAGTTGTCAAAGTATAAGCCAGGAAATCCTAGGGATCCCCAAGAATTTTTCAGGAGAATTTGCAAAGTCAAAACGATTTCCATAATAATGCTACTTGATTTTTTCACTGTCATTCTCTCACAAGTGTACAGTGGGGTTTTCCAGAAGCTACATGGGTGATGTGTAATATTGCAATACACTGAATGCAGAAGCTGACGTGAGAACCCAGCTTTCTATTAAGCCACGTACTAAAGAGAGATGCAAAAAATGTAAAACGATGCCACTCTTATCACTAATTTGTCTCAAAAAAGTAAATAAAAATATGATTTGTTAGTGTGTCATTGGTTTGTTCTTATTAAATTGCCCAATTAATATGTCTTTTAAATTTTTTAAATCTCTAATGCAGTACGTATGATAGATATAATCCACATAAACAAAATCAAATGGGCCCTGGGACTGGAACAATAGAGAACTGCAGTCTTAGACAACAGGATGTCTTCAGCCCAGGTCAGACTAAACTCACTCCCACCACCCTCTTCCTTCCTGTGGCCGAGGAAAAAGCCTGATATAAAGCTGACTTTAAGAAGAACTAAAACAGATTCACAAGATTAAAAACAAACAAGCCCGTTCAAAAGTGGGAGAAGGATAAGAACAGACACTTTACAAAAGAAGACATACATGAGGCCAACAAACATGAAAAACTGCTCATCATCACTGGTCATCAGAGAAATGCAAATCAAAACTATATTGAGATATCATCTCACGCCAGTTAGAATGGCGATCATTAAAAAATCTGGAGACAACAGATACTGGAGAGGATGTAGAGAAATAGGAACACTTTTACACTGTTGGTGGGAGTGTAAATTAGTTCAACCATTGTGGAAGACAGTGTGGCGATTCCTCAAGGACCTAGAAATAGAAATTCCATTTGACCCAGCAATCCCATTACTGGGTATATATCCAAAGGATTATAAATTGTTCTACTATAAGGACACATGCACACAAATGTTCATTGCCGCACTGTTTACAATAGCAAAGACCTGGAACCAACCCAAATGCCCATGGATGATAGACCGGACAGGGAAAATGTGGCACATATACACCATGGAATACTATGCAGCCATAAAGAATGATGAGTTTGTGTCCTTTGTAGGGACATGGATGAACCTGGAAACCATCATTCTCAGCAAACTGACACAAGAACAGAAAATCAAACACCTCATGTTCTTACTCATAGGAGGGTGTTGAACAATGAGAACACATGGACACAGGGAGGGGAGCATCACTGGGGTCTGTCAGGGGGGAAATAGGGGAGGGACAGCGCGGGGTGGGGAGCTGGGGAGAGATAGCATGGGGAGAAATGTCAGATATAGGTGATGGGGAGGAAGGCAGCAAATCAGACTGCCATGTGTGTACCTATGCAACAATCTTGCATGTTCTTCACATGTACCCCAAAACCTACAATGCAATGAAAAAATACAAAAATTTAAAAAATAAGAAAAAAGAAAAACAGTTCTTCAGGCAGCCAAAGTCAAGCGCCTCTGCTTGCCCCAACCTCTTTCCCACCCTTCTTGGAGACCTGGACTGGGCAGGGGCCTGGGGTGGGTGTGGCTGGGAGAGTGGGCGGGGTCTGGTCGCGGGGCATCACAAAGCCACACAGAGAGCAGGGCCAGTCCCAGGAGCACTGCATACTGGGATGCGAGGCGCTCCTAGGCCTCCACCAATGAGATGTGGTGGCGTCATGAGGCGCGTCCCTCCCTGCGGCCCACGTCTCCCAGCACTCAGGCCTGCGCCCAGGGGCTGGGAGCCGGGCCGCTCACTGCGCCAGTGGCCCGCCGGCCGTTCTGGCCGTCCAGCATGGTGGACTACTATGAGGTGCTGGGTGTGCCCCGACAGGCCTCGACCGAGGCCATTAAGAAGGCCTACCGCAAGCTGGCGCTCAAGTGGCACCCCGACAAAAACCCCGAGAACAAGGAGGAAGCGGAGAGGAGATTCAAGCAGGTGGCCGAGGCCTACGAGGTGTTGTCGAACGCCAAGAAACGCGACATCTACGACCGCTACGGCGAGGCGGGGGCGGAGAGCGGCTGCGCCAGCGGCGGACCCTTCGAGGACCCCTTCGAGTATGTCTTCAGCTTCCGCGACCCCGCCGAGGTCTTCAGGGAGTTTTTTGGCGGCCAGGACCTATTCTCGTTTGACTTCTTTGGAAACCCGCTGGAGAATATTTTTGGGGGTCGGAGGAACTCCAGGGGAAGCAGAAGCAGAGGGTCGGCACCCCTTTTCTCCACCTTCAGTGAATTTCCAGCTTTTGGGGGTGGTTTTAATTCTTTTGATACAGGATTTAGTTCCTTTGGTTCCCTGGGAAGTGGGGGCCTTTCTTCCTTCTCCATGTCCTACGGTAGTGATGGGACAGGCACCTTCAAGTCCACGTCGACTTCCACTGAAATAGTTGATGGCAAAAAAATCACCACCAAGAGAATCATTGAAAATGGCCAAGAAAGGGTGGAAGTGGAGGAAGATGGAGAGTTGAGTTAAAGTCCTTGATAATAAATGGCAAAGAGCAGTTGCTCCGCATTGACATCAAATAATTCCGGTCCACATTTGAGTTAAAGCACATCTGGAGGAAGAGCGGACTTTTTTTTTTTTTTGGGCAGGTGAACTTTACTCTCAGAACAACTGTACCCAAGAATTTATAAACACTTGATACCAACGCCTATTCTTACTGTTGGGACTACACGGATAGGATCTCTGTTTGTCTTTCAATCGTTGTAAATATCTGCATGCACTTTGCTATTTATTAAACGTAAGCCTGAAGCAGACAGTGATTTATTTCCTGCTGCTAGGACCGAATTTTCAGCTCAGCACTTGGAACCTTACTCTTTTGCGTTTGGAAAGTGTGAACCAGGTGTTTTGCTCTAAACCATTTGACTTCAATTTTTTAGTGTGTAGTGGTGAAGTCTATGAATATATTAATAATACTTCTGGCTTAATTTAATTATGGATTTTTAATTGCAGATAAATACTTGTGATGTAGGAAGAGTTGACCATTATTTAGATAAAAGGTTAAACCCAGGATTTATAAAAGCAGGTAAACCTGGCAAAGTGGATGCATTAGTTTCCCATCACTGCTATAACAAATTACCATAAACTTGGTGGCTTAAATCTACACACGTTTATTCTGTTAATATTTTGAAGGTCAGACATTTGAATCCCGTATCACGGAGCTGAAATCAGTGTAAGAGGCATGTTCCCTCTGAAGGCTGAGGACAGACCTCGGGATTACATGATTGGTCAATGGTATACTAGGACTGTCCCCAGCCCTAACTTGGTTCTCCAACTATGGTAGGTTCTGGAATTTTTTTTTTTTAAAGCATTTCCATAAGGCCACACAAAACTATCCTATTGCTGTGCTTGGGACATACATCAAATTAGGTTGATGAATGCCAAGTATACCTGTAATACTGTTTGGGTGAGGCACCATACGCACAACTGAGAGTACCTTTCTGTTGGCACAGGTTATGTCCCAAATGAAGACCTTTTGGGGCATGTTGCCTTGGGGTAGTCCATCACAAAGAGTCTCATATTCTAGGGTCATTTCTGAGGAACGGTTTGCTTAAGGCATAAGAGCCACTGAACTAGACAGGCTGAAAAAAATTAAGAGCAGCATCCTGTTAACTTTTTACAGAAAAATAATGGGTTGAATACATTGTTAACCAATAAAGACTGTGAGAATGAGTTTGGATATGCTCTAGTACCCTTAGATTCCAATCTACATGGAATGGCACCCAAACAATACAGAGCAGGAACATGGCAGTCAGCTGGCACCATCCCACAGGGACGCATGGGGTCCCACACTGAAGTCTGAAATCAACATGCTTGGAGGTACCTGGGTAGTGGCTTCTTATATAATAACTAAATAAGATGTATCAGAATAAGACAGACTGTCAGAGCCTTTAAAAAATTAGTTCATTTTTTAGTGAACCAGGCAAGGAAACTTAACATGTGTGAAGATACTGAGTAATTTGCTGGGGGTAGGTTTGCTTTTGAAGCAGTTGAAGTGGTAGGAAGGCATGGGCACAGTTTCATGGTGGTTTTGTGTGTTGGAAATCACCACTCTGGGTAGGGTAGAATGAGTGGGTTTGTATCACACAATTGATTACATAAATCCCACTGTTTGGTGGTCAGTGAAGAATGGCATACCAGTGTCACTCAGAGGTTATGGGTAACAACTCTAGCTAGTTTTAACAGTTGAAAGCAAATACAGGGTTCAGTTTTAATATATTCTGGATTAGTGCTGCCATAAATGGAAAATGTTCCTTTTACAGAAGTGTAAAACTTTGTTTGTTTTAGATACAGGTTCTTACTCTGTAGCTGTTGCCTAGGCAAGATCATAGCTCACTGTAACCATGAATTCCTGGGCTCAAGTGATCCTTCCTCCTCAGCATTCTCAGTAGCTGGGACTACAGACATGCTACCATATCTACCTAATTTAAAAAAAAATCTTCTTGTAGAGATGGGAACTATGTTGACCCACTATGTTGTCCCAGCAAGAGCATTTTATTTAAATAATTTTCAGAATTGAAAATCACTTTTTAAAATGTCTTAGCTCAAAAACAGAAGACTGCTAGAGACCTGTATATTGGTATTCATCTTTTATAAAAGGGTTTGATAAGGTTTTCAGAGTGGAAAAAGGGGGCATTTCGTCTGCTGCAAAGATGACCATCTTGAGATCCTTAAAATGAATTCCCTCCATGGAATTACTTGTACCTTCTGACCAAGCATGCCAGAAAAGGAAAAGCATGACCCTGTAAGCCCCAGGAGACCTGGAGACCTGTGACCATCTCAGTAGGGTCCAAAAATCCAAAATGCCAGACATTTTTTTCTGGTTGGAGCACCACACAGCTGGTTTTAGTTCAGCTTACATCACACACTGGAAAGCATCTGGAAGAGGAAATGATCCTTTCTGTCCATCATCTTCTCCTCTGATTCCACTTTCTGTCTCCAAACAGGTAGAGAGACTTCCCCATCTTGGAAAATCATTCACACAACAGCTTGCCTTTCTGGGAATTTCTAATTCCACTTTCTTATCACATTTCTCAATAAATGCAGATCCATTTCCTTTTCTCAGACTTTCCTTTAAACCCTTTCAGTATAACTTCAATCATCACAAATCTTGTTAGTCTGTTCTCACACTGCTATAAAGACATACCCAAGACTGGGTAATTTATAAAGGAAAGAGGCTTAATTGACTCAGTTCCACATGGCCGGGTTGGGGGCACCTCTGGAAACAAAATTGTGACAGAAGGTGAGAGAGAGGCGAAGGTATGTCTCACATGGCAGCAAGCAAGACAGAGACAAAGAGGAAAAGCTTGTGAGTGAAGGGGGAAAAGTCCCTTATAAAACCATCAGCTCTCATAAGAACACATTCAGTATGATGAGAACAGCATGGGGGAAACTGCCCACATGATCCAGCCACCTCCCACCAGACCCCATCCTTAACACTTGGGGATTATGGAAATTACAATTTGTGATGAGATTTGGGTAGAAACACAGAGTCAAACCATATCATTCTGCCCCCGGCCCCTCCCAAATCTCATGTCTTTTCACATTTTTAAACCAATCGTGCCTTCCGAATAGTCCTCCAAAGTCTTAACTCATTTTAGCATTAACTCAAAAGTCCATAGTCCAAAGTCTCATATGAGACAAGGCAAGTCCCTTCCCCCATGAGCCTGTAAAATCAAAAACAAGTTAGTTACTTCCAAGACACAATAGGGGTACAGAAATTGGGTAAATGTTCTCATTCCAAATGGGAGAAATTGGCCAAAATAAAGGGGCTACAGGGCCCATGCAAGTCCAAAACCAGGCAGGGCACTCATTAAATCTTAAAGCTCCAAAATTATCTCACTTGACTTCATGTCTCACATCTAGGTCATGCTGATGCCAGAAGTGGGCTCCCACAGTCTTGGACAGCTCTGACCCTGTGGCTTTGCAGGGTAAAGCCCCTCTCCTAGCTGCTTTCAGAGGCTGGCACTGAGTGTCTGAGGCTTTTCCAGGCACATGGTGCAAGCTATTGGACCTACTATTCTGAGTTCTGGAGGATGGTGGCCTTATTCTCACAACTCCACTAGGCAGTGCCCCAGTGGCGACTCTATGTGGGGGGCTCCAACCCCACATTTCTCTTCCACACTGCCCTAGCAGAGGTTCTCCATAAGGGCTCCACCCATGCAGCAAAATTCTGCCTGGACAGCCAGACATTTCCATACATCCTCTGAAATTTATGTGAAGGTTCCCAAACCTAAATTCTTATCTTCTGTGTACCTGCAGGCCCAACGCCACATGGAAGCTGCCAAGGCTTGAGGCTTGTACACTCTGAAGCAATAGCCTGAGCTGTACCTTGGCCCCTTTTAGCCATGGCTGGAGCCACTGGGACATAGGGCACCAAATTGTGAGGCCGCACACAGCAGGGGGCGCCTAGACCCAGCCCACAAATTTTTTTTTCCTTCCTAGTCCTCAGGCCTGTGATGGGAGGGTCTGCTGCAAAGTTCTCTCATGCTCTAGGGCCATTTTCCCCATTATCTTGGCAATTAACATTTCGATCCTCCTTATGTAAATTTATGCAGCCAGTATTTCTGCAGCTGGCTTGAATTTCTCCCTACAGAATGGGTGGTTTTTCTTTTCTACCACATGGTGAGGCTGCAAATTTTCCAAACTTTTATGCTGTGCTTCCCTTTTAAACGTAAGTTCCAATTTCAGATCATCTCTCTCAATTTCAAAGTTCCACAGATCCCTAGGGCAAGGGGAAAATGCCACCAGTCTCTTTCTAAACCATGGCAAGAGTGACCTTTGCTCCAGGTCCCAATAAGTTCCTCATCTCCATCTGAGACTGAGCGTGGACTTCATTGTCCACAACATTATCGGCATTTTGGTCAAAACACTTCAACAAGTCTCTAGGAAGTTCCAAACTTTCCCACGTCTTCCTGTCTTCTGAGTTCTCCAAACTGTTCCAACCCCTGCCTGTTACCCAGTTCCAAAGTTACTTCCACATTTTCAAGTATCTTTATAGCAGTAACCCACTCTTGGTGGTACCAATTTACTGTATTAGTCCATTCTCACACTGCTATAAAGACATACCCAAGACTGGGTAATTTATAAAGGAAAGAGCTTTAATTGACTCTCAGTTCCACATGGCTGTGGTGGGGGGAGGGGGAGGCCTCAGGAAACTTACAATCCTGGAAGAAGGTGAGAGAGAGGCAAAGGCATGTCTTACATAGTGGCGTGTGCACACGCATGAGAAACGGGGCGGGGGGAAAGAGCTTGCAAGTGAAGGGAGAAGGGCCCCTTATAAAACCATCAGATCTTATAAGAACTCATTCAGTATGATGAGAGCAGCAGGTGGGAAACTGCCTCCATGATCCAATCACCTCCCACCAGGTCCCATCCTTGACACATGGGGATTATGGGAATTACAATTCAAGATGAGATTTAGTGGGGGACACAGAGCCAAACCTATTAAATCTTGTGTGACCTCATGCTGAGAAACAGTCATTGGTCTCACTATTGAATAATTAGCCTGTTCTTTATCACACTCGAAAATTAGCCTGTTAATGTGGAATTCTCTAAAGGGCATAGCAAGAGTGACATGTGCCATAGTTCCCAATTTGTTCTGCTCCACTGAGATGACAGTGAGGATTTAAGCCAATATACTTAACTCTAGAAAATATGTTCATATTGAAAAACTACAAGAAAAGGGCAACAGTCACTATTTAAATGCCATCCCACTTTTCAACATTTTTACAAATCTAATAAACACATATTTCATCACTGA